AACCAATAGTCCGTTAGAACCATAGCGCTACGGCAATCGTTCAATTCATTATCCCATTAGAGTTTCTGACTACCTTTCAGGGGGCTAAGTGTAATTATCGATACCACAGGGACCTTACAATTATTTAAGCATACCTCAGGGGGGTGTGTGTCATTTACCCTATTTTTTAACTAATGCGTCTCATTATTAATTAATCTGGATTGATGAGTTAATTATCTCCTTAATCTTTTGAAGATTGATGGCGGCTAAAACTAATGTCAAAGTGTACGTGTACTTTGGAGGTCACATAATTCCCAATGATTGGGTAGTGCAATATAGTATTGCCCACAAAACAGCATTTCGAATTAAACGTGACTTTTCCTTTGCACATTTTCTGTCAAAGTTGTATCAACGTCTAGATGTCGATGTTAATCAGTTCGGGCTAAGAGTGTGTTGCAAATGTTACATTTATAATGGAGAAAGAATGAAAGAGATGATTACCGAGATGACAACATATGAAGATTTACAAATGTATATCGATCCGGACGAAGGTAATGAGGCAATCGAAGTATTTGTTGAGATTGAACCGAAATACATTGATAGTGCCCCACCACAAGTGAGCGTAGATGCATTTGATTTGAATGAACCATATTTCTCACAACCACAGGTGGCTCCGGATTTTCTGGCGGCGACACAAAGCATCCCTAACTTTTGTGAGACTAGTGGAGCGAGAGAGGTGCACAGAGATCCCTATACAATTAACTATGGTAATTTAGGGGGATTTGTTGGTGAGTCAAGTTCCCCGAGACGGAGCATTTTCGAAGATGATGACCCTAAAGGTGACTCATTTGGGCCGAACAATCCTGTGAATTCCGAACCATCCGATGACGGAGACGACGACAATGAAGATGAAGACGTACAAGATGATGTTCGGGAGACGTGGTTGCAGCACAACGAGGCGGAAGCAGAGGAACAACCGACGTTATATGAGTCAATCCCATTTTTCTCGATGTCGTTTGAAGAAGTGGCGGCAGATTCAGTTGAAGTTGGAAGGGGCCGATATGATAAGTTTTACGATAGCGATCGAGGTATTCTTGAGGTTGGGATGGTGTTTGAGGACAAAAAACGCCTTTGCGCCGCGGTGAGAGACCATTCGATTCGATTTGCTAAACGAGAATTCACGGTTGTCGAAAGTAAGCCGAAGCTATGGAGTGTCAAGTGCAAGCATAGCACACCCGAAAGGCCTTGTAGATGGTCGTTGCGGGGAATTGAAAAATCGGACAAAGGATTCTTCCTTATTACGAGATATGGTGGGCCCCACAATTGCATAATGGATGAAATGTCGAATGAACACAAGAATTTGGACAGGAACTACATTGCTGCCTTATTGGTTCAGTCCATTCGAGATGACCCAGCTTGCGAAATAACACAAGTACAAAATATTGTGAGGTCTCAATTAGGATTTCAACTTTCGAAGATGCAAGCTTGGTATGGTTTGAAGCGTTGCAGAGATAACTTGTTCGGGAGTTGGGAGTCCTCAGTGAACAAATTGCCCAAGTTTATGAAGGCACTCCATAGAACGAACCCGGGTACGACAATTGAGTGGGTTTTCAAAACAACAGACATTCCAACACGGAAGATGATCAAGTACTTCTTTTGGGCCTTCAAGCCATGCTTGGATGGATTCAAGTTCTGTCGAAAAGTTATTAGTGTGGATGAAACTCATCTCTACACTAAGTACAAGCACAAGTTACTAATTGTCGTTTGTTTGGACGCCAATAACCAAGTGCTACCACTAGAATTTGCTCTTGTTGACAATGAAACCACGGCGGCTTGGAGGTGGTTTTTTCAAATGCTCCACATACATCTAATTTCTCAAATTCCAGATGGAGAAAGCGTTTGTGTAATTTCAGATCGAGCTCCGGGAATTTTACGAGCTTTAGCGGAGTTGCCCGAATTTGCTCCCCCTAATGTTTTTCACAGGTTTTGCTTGAGACACGTGTGCTCCAATTTCAACAAACGTTTTAAGAGTGTTGATTTGAAGGATCTATGCTACAAGGCGGGAACGGAGTCTCAAATGTGGAAGTTTAACCACATTCTTAATGTGATCAAAACTCGGAGTGTTGAAGCTCATAACTATTTGAAGGATATTGATCAAGAAAAATGGGCATTTGCACATGATGGGGGGCAAGCGTTGTGGTCAACTTACTACAAAGATGCCAGAGCCTCATAATGGTGTTCTCAAGGGAACTCGAAAACTTCCCATCTCAACAATTGTTGACCTCACATTCAACCGCATTGTTAGGTATTTTTTTTAATCGTCTCCACGAGGCCAATGTGATGGTTCAGAATGGACAGTTGTGGTCCACATATGGTTATGGCATTTACCGGACACATGAAGCCAACTCTGTTAGATGTTTCACGACTCGTTTTAATCAACAACAGCTCTCTGTCGAGGTGATGACTAGAGCTCGTCCAAGTGGAAGTGGAAATAACAAACACATCGTGAGTTTAAGGGACCAAACTTGTACTTGTGGAAAATGGAAGCTAACAGGAATCCCCTGCAGTCATGTCCTCCACGTGTGCCGTGAATGGATGTTGTCTGCCTCCGTATATGTGAACGATTGCTACACTGTTGATCAATTAGTGAACACTTATTCTGGGATATTCCAATCCCTGTTGAGTGAACACTATTGGGAGGATGTTGCTTTTGAACTAATTCATGATCCAACACTACTAGGGGATCGAAGACGCAGTCGAATTCCTAATGAGATGGATGTGCCACAAACACGGGCAAGACAACAATCTAGAAGATATGAACAAGCAATACGGCTCCGATAGTATAATTTATGTAGTTCATTGCACTTTGTATTATTTATATTGTTATTTTCTAGTTTTCACGTCGGACTAAATAGTGTCTAATTATCGTGTTTGACTTTGTATTTGTTATTGCACTTGTACTTATTATCTGAGTCTATCTATGTATTATTGTGTATTTGTTATTACACTTCTGCTTATTATCTGAGTGTTCTATTTATTAGTGTGTATTTGTTATTGCACTTGTGCTTAGTATCTGAGTGTTCTATGTATATTATTATACATGATGGATGTCAGTTATGTTTATGGTCCGCGGGACACTTCATTGCTATACCGCCAGTCAGAGCACGTATCCAGATCGATTACATCGGCAAACGTGGATGATATTGTGCGCGGGAGACACTGTGATGGTTGGATTTGGGGTTTATATGGAGATTATGGTGATGATGATCCACACCCTAGAGTGATGCAGTACTTAATTGATACTAGGTTCTATGGAGTATATCAATGTGGTCGTCTCGTAGTCGATTTGCATCTTATTGCAGCTTTAGTGGAGAGATGGCGCCCAGAGACACACACGTTTCATTTTCGAGCAGGGGAGGCAACAGTGACACTTGAGGATGTCGCACTATTATGGGGTTTGCCTGTTGATGGACTACCTGTTACTGGACAGGATATTTCATGGTCGAAGGAGTAGTGGCAGATTATTGTCAGACGTGGTTGGGATATACTCCTTCAGATCAAGCTTTCATAGGGAGACGACTCTTTGCAACTGATTTGGCCATGTATTTACGACATTGCACGATTACTGATGACAACACGGAGCAGCGTGTTCAGCAGCATACCAGGTGTTTACTGTTATTGCTACTTGGGGGGTTTATGTGTCCTGACACATCTTCAAGTGCAATCTCGTTGTTGTATCTTCGTCATTTCGAAGATCTTGAGGCAGTGCGTACTTTCAGTTGGGGTAGTGCAGTTCTTGGATATTTGTATCGTGAGCTATGTCCTGGGGCTTTACTTAGGAAAGTTGTGGAACAAGACGGCAGTGTTGAGTTGGATAAGAGGAAAACTAATCTTGGTGGTGCGCTTACTCTGTTACAGGTAATAGGATTTTTGATACTTTTAAAATTTAAATTAATAGTTTATTATACTTGCGGTTTTTGATATTTTTTATGTTTAATAATTAGTGTTGGGCATGGTCGAGGATACCTTGACTTGCTCCAGCAATAGTACCAGTAGTAGAAGATGATCCCCGTCGGCTTGCATATCCCCACCCTCCTTACGGTGCACGGTAAACATCTTAGTACTAATAATTTATTTATATGAAGGTTAATATATTGACTTAGCAAATTTTCATATGATATTACAGTTGGATCAGACCTACTAGTCACACTCGGTCCTTGCGAAACAATATACGTGTTTATCATACGACGCTCGATCGGATGCTCTGGGATCAGGTTATTTATAAGTTAACAACAATTACGTTAATGTTTGTGGTCTATTTAACAATATATTAAAAAATTTTTTTTTTCTAGTTTACATGGATGCCTTATAGTGAACTAGATCTTGAGTTTGGCGCTTTACTTGAGTATCCTGAGATAGTGCATCCACAACTTTGGTTGCCGAGTTGTCCCCTTATATTTTACGAGAGAGTTGAGATGCATCGTCCGTATAGGGTGCTACGTCAGTTTGGGAGGGTACAACATATACCACCACATCCTACTGATCACGATATTGAGATTAAGTTGCATTCTTATGATCGTCGAGGTGCAGGGGGTAGAGATTGGGCTCGTTTTCACCGTATCTATGTTGATAGATGGCATGGCCGACTTGATTCTCCCGTTGAGTATCCATTTATTGAGTTTAGTGGGCCTCAGACAGATCCAGGATACTACGAGTGGTATGAGAGGCACACACGTTGTTTGATATGACCGATTGACAATCTTGATGATATCGGTTTTCAGGTCGGAGACCCGATTTTACTAGATCTTGTGGTTAGTATTTTTCTCAAAACAACCATTACTTTCGATGTTTTTCAATTTGTTTTTTCAGTTTTTAAAGTTCTTAAACTTGTAATGCCTTTTATTTCAGGGTAATCAGCTTATATCCATGAGTCTTGCTGCTAGGGCAGTTTCTCGAGATGACGATCGGATATATGATCTGTATCAGGACAACGCTACACGGATGTATGCAGCTGGGACTCAACTTCTACGTAGAGATGGTGCTTCGTCCAGCTTACCTCGGATACCTGCCATACCTCCTATACCTTCTCCGCATCGAGATAGATGTACCGGAAGAAGGTCCAGCGCTGCCGAAAGAGCTACTGAATTGGAGCATGACGTGAGACAGACGAGAGAGGGGAACTATTATGCATCTACATCTCGGGTACCTCCATCTGGAGATGATGCCGGTCAATTTGCTTCTCATACTCCCTTTTATGCAGATGTTTCTGTGCATGGAGGTATGGACGATTTATCTACTACACAAGGATTTATGGATATGTTCGGTGCGTCTACATCTCAGGTACCCACATTTACAGATTTAGTTGGTCCATCTACGAATGATTACGTTCCAGATATGCCATGGTCCGATTCTCTAGCTACCCCATATCCTCCTGCTATTGATACTCGGTTCTCTTCATGGGGTCCAGATTTAGAGCTCAATTTGGGATACTCAAGTCCCCAAGAGCAGATCCGACCACATTATAATGTTTCCCCTGTTCCATATCCACCGGATGACACCCAGTTTGTTGATGATGTACCGGCAGATCCTGACATTCGTCGAGATGGTAGGCCGCGTAGGACTAGACGGGCACCTGCATGTGGCACTGGTTCACATATGCACTGACTTCATAGTGCCAATTTTATTTTCTTGTACTCATTTTGTCGTTGTACTCATTTTGGACCTATTTATTTTATATAACTCTTTTATTGGACCTATTTATTTTATATAACTCTTTTATTTTCTAGAATTCCTTTTGTTTTTGTCTACATGTTTTTAAGATTGTACACTATTTTATTGTGTTGATTAGATAAATATATGCAATGATTAATTTAACACTAATTGATAAAATATATAAAGGGGCAATTTGCTATAGGTCCTCCTATAAGAGATTATATGTGTTAAAATCCATCTAATAAACTCTAATTTCCAGCAAATTTTTGTATTTATAATTTGTCAAAAGTACCCCTATCAATATCCCTAGTAATATACGGTAAAATATATCTTCAAAATCAAATCCCCCATTTCTCTCCCTATTATACTGCAAATCCGAAATTTATAATTGCAAACATCTGGAATTCGATTTCTCCCCTATTTCTTCAAATCGAAAATCTCACCACGAATTTTGAATCCTTCCATAGGTTTTGGGCAATTGGTCGTTTGCAGTTTTACCAGGTCGGTTGCATTTTGTCTTCGTTTTCGATTTGCTGTTCAATATTTGCATTTGTTTCGTTTGTTGTTTACAAATTTGTTTCGATTTGTTTTCGATTGCTGTTTACAGGGTTTGTTGTTTCGAAAATTCCAATTGCAAAAATATTGAAATCGATTTCATCAATGTTGCTTCAAAGCGAAAATCTCACCACGAATTTTGAATCCTTCCATAGGTTTTGGGTGTTTGATTGTTTGCAGTTTTACTTGGTCTTTTGCATTTTGTCTTTGTTCGATTTGCTGTTCAATATTTGCAGTTGTTTCGTTTGTTGTTTACAAATTTGTTTCGATTTGTTTTCGTTTGCTGTTTACAGGGTTTGTTGTTCCGAAAATTACAATTGCAAAAATATGGAAATCGATTTCCTCCCTGTTTCTTCAAAGCGAAAATCTCACCACGAATTTTGAATCCTTCCATAGGTTTTGGGTGTTTGATTGTTTGCAGTTTTACTTAGTCGTTTGCATTTTGTCTTTGTTCGATTTGCTGTTCAATATTTGCATTTGTTTCGTTTGCGGTTTACAAATTTGTTGTTCACTATTTGCATTATGTTTCGTTTGCTGTTTACAAATTACCAGGTCTGAGCATTTTGCCTTTATTCCGTTTGCCTTCGTTCGATTTGTTGTTGCCCAATTTGACTTCGTTCTGTTTGCAGTTTACAAATTGTTTGTTGCTCGGAATCAACGGCTGGTGTTTAGGGTTTGTTGTTTGGAGTTCATACGATGGCCAAAACACGATTAAGTCTTGGTAATCAATGATCCTTTGTGTAAAATTTTATTTGCATGTTGGGTTTTCGCTTTTGATTTTTTTTCTTTCATCTCGAAATTTGTATTTTGTTCCTTTTTTGCTTTTGTATTTTGTTTGTTTGCTATTTATTTCAAATATTTCAATAATAATTTGAGAACCCGTTTTTTTCCCCCCTTAACAGCAAAGGATGATGATGATTTCCAATCCCCGAAATCAGGTAAATTGAGGGGCTTGTTTATGTTACGACTTTGGTTATGTTTATTCTAAAACAATACATTTGAAGAACCTAATTATGTTTATTCTAAAACAAACATTACAAAGTCGTTTGTTGTTTGATTTGCTGAACCAGTTTGCCCCCCTTTATGTTTGTGATTTTCCAATTGTTTGTTGTTTGAAGACATCGGCTGGTGTTTCTGTTTGGGATTTATACAATGGACAAAAAACGATTAAATCTTGGTAAACAATGATTCTATAAACTATTTGTATGATTAGTGTGTGCATTTTGAATTTTTTTGTTCTGCATTTGCATGTTGTTTATTTTATTTTCAATTTTGCTGTTTTTATTTTATTTTGCATTTTGCTAGTTTGCAATTTATTTCGAATAATTCGATACTAATTTGAGAACCTTTTTTTTTCCATGAGGATGATGACTTCGAATCCCCAAAATCAAACAATTGAGGGGTTCGGTGATGTTATAACTTTGGTTATGTTTATTCTTAAACAAAATGTAGCTGCATTTTAAGTTACAATTATTAAGGTTTGTTTGATGTTAGTCTGAGTTTTTATGCGTTTTTTTAAACTCGGTTTGCATTTTGCTCTTTAAAGTTTGTCACTTTGATTCTGTATTTTGCTATTTTTGTGGCTGATTTTGGTACTTATGTAATCTGAATTTTGATTTTTTTGGTTAATTTTGAGTAGTGTTGTTAGTTGTTTGCAAATGATGTTTGCTATTTTCAAGTACCATTTTTATTCGACTAATTCATGTATCGTTTACTTACATATGATGTTTTTATTTGTAGTATGCATTTTGCAAGTCTTGTATAAACTTGCAAAAGTTGTTAGTTGTTTGATATTTTGCAATAACATTGTTTGGATAATTCCATAGCTCTGATGTTTCCCTTTTTCTTTTCCAACAGCCAAGCCAAATAAAAGGAAACAAGTCACTAAATCATCGAAAAGGAAAAGAAAAATCAACTCAGACTGTAGTCGAGACCCAAGAACAACCAACCGTTACAGAAAGAACAACCGATTCCACAATATTGTTCAAACCTCATTTTGTAATCCGGTGTATTACAGTTTGCAGTTTCAGTTTACGTTTGTTGATAAAAGGGTTTCATCTTTTACATCACCTTGCAAATTCCATGTTTAAAATTGGAAAAGAAAATGATTGATTTGCTATTGCATTATGCAGTATTATTTTTTCTCATACTAATACAAATCGCAAATTTATGTTTGACATTTTAATGTTTGCAATTATTCATCGTGCAGTTCGCTATTTACAAAATGATATAACAGTAATACATAATTAACAAAGAAAAAAAAAACACCATTCTAAAATTTGCAGTTTGTTTACCATTTCTTTTGTATTTTGCATTTTGTTGTTGTATGTAATTTGCATTTTCCTGTTACAACTTACAACTTGGAAAAAAATAAAAAAAAATTGTGAATAAGATAATTGAATATTTAAAGATTTTATTAAATAAAAATATGCAAATAAATATTTATGATGAAATTATACCAAAAAATATAACAAGTAAATATCATATTACAACAATTTAAATATGTGTTTTTAAATTCCTTTTGTTGTTTGATGTTTGATGTTTGTTG